CCCTGAGACGCGGGCGCGGGAGCCCGGCGTGTCGGCGAGCCTCAGGTGTCACGCCGAAGGCATCCCCAATCCCCGAATTACCTGGCTGAAGAATGGCGTGGATATCCTGCCAAAACTATCCAAACAGCTAACGCTCCTAGGTAAGAACAGAATTTTGATTAATTAAAGCGGTGTAGACGGGGATTAAGGAGGATTATTTTGCACTTTAAACTGGAAGTTCTTGTACTTTCGCTAAGCCAGAGTTGTCGGAAATCGTGTTACAAAACCCCTGCTTGCTCTTCTTATCTTTTTCTCCTGTGAATTTCTTGGGAAATACAGTATTGATTGATATAAACGGAGCAGCGTTCTGTTAAAAGACAGCGTGGGGCTTCTCCCCTGCCTTGTTTCTGGTGTGCAAACCAGAAGAGAAGTGCATTCAGTTATTTGTGGAGGTGTCGGCGCTGCCCTGGCTGCCCATCAGCTGGGAATTGGGCTGGGCTTCTTGCCACCTCTTGGTCCTTGTTCAAATGAGGGTGCAACAGGCACAAGGAGACGCCAAAAAAAAGATATTTATTTGCAATTTGCAGCTTAAGAATGTTAAAAACGTCCCTCCACACGCCCCCCAGTCTGGCTGTGGTGTGTTGCAGCCCTCAAGCAGTGTTGACAGCACAGATATCCCGGTTGGTTGTGGTATCACAGAATCACAGAATGTTCGGGGTTGGAAGGGACCTCTGAAGATCATCTAGTCCAACCTTCATCCCAGCACACCCAACCACTACACCACAGCCTCAAGTGCCAGATCTACTTTTTTTTTAAACACTTCCAGGGTTGGTGACTCCACCACCTCCCTGGGCAGCCTGTTCCAGTGCCTCACCACTCGTTCAGTAAAGAACTTCCTCCGAATATCCAATCTAAACTTACCCTGACGCAACTTGAGGCCATTTCCCCTTGTCCTGTCATTAGTAATTAGAGAGAAGAGACCAGCACCAGCCTCACTACAGCCTCCTTTTAGGTAGCTGTAGAGGGCAATAAGGTCTCCTCTTCTCCAGACTAAACAAACCCAGTTCCCTCAGCCGCTCTTCACAGGGCATGTTTTCCAGACCTCTCACAAGCCTTGTTGCCCTTCTCTGCACCCGCTCCAGCACCTCGATGTCCTTCTTGTACTGTGGTGACCAAAACTGGACACAGCACTCGAGGTGAGGTCTCACGAGTGCTGAGTACAGGGGCACCTGAAATCTTCCACAGGTTTTAGGCAACAGTCCCACTCCAGAAAGCGAAGTGATGGGAGGAACTATAGAGAAACTCCTCCCAAATTCAAGATTTGCATCATCTGATGAAAACCATTTTGCAAGATGGAAGTTGTTTGTTGTTTTTTTCCACTAAAGCCAAAGCATTTTTTTTTTCTTTAACAAGAAGAAATAAATGAAATTTAATTGATTGTATGCACTCAGGATTCCCTATCCAGCCATCGCCAGGCGACCACGGCGGTGCAAGGCAATTAAGGGCAGTAAAAGCAATTAGCAGCAGTGAGGAACACTGTTTATGGGTGTCTTTCTTACAGCAAATGGAAGTGAACTTCATATCAGTAGCGTTCGATATGAAGACACCGGTGCCTACACCTGCATTGCTAAAAATGAGGTGGGAGTGGATGAAGACATATCTTCACTTTTCATAGAAGATTCGGCAAGAAAGACCCGTAAGCTTCATTTTCCATGTGTTTATTTCTTGGAGAGTATTTAAATGTAATGGTATACGTGCAGTTTAACAGTTCAGTCTATTACGTGTGATATGTCGGACTCGTACTCATAAGGTAACGACAATTTTGTCTGTGCCTTGGTCAGGGGATGGTTTATTGTTGGGGGAAGGTACGAGTTCCTCATCCTGGGCAGTGGTGCCTTTCATGTGGGCTGGGGAACACCTTTACTGAGATAACAAATTGGCAATAGTTTTAGATATCAGAGAATGCAAACCCTAGTATTTTGTCAGATTATATGCAGAAAATAATATTTCCTTGATTTCTATCCAATACGACTTCTTTCAAAGCCAGTGCCGAGTCGAGGTTCTCAAATATTTAGATGCTTGAAAAATATTCTGACTGAATTATTTATTTTACCTGGGTTTACGTCACTAGCCAAAAAAAAATAGATTTCCCTCAGTGTGAAATTATCTCCCGCTTCAAAGACAATTATTCTCCCAGCCAATCTTAGCGGCATGTCTCCCACAGGAGTACAGCAGTGTTGTCTTGACCTCACTGTCCCCAAAACACAATTAATGAAGGAGCTGATTAGTTGTCCCAGTGGAAAAGCTCCCAGAGGCTGTCTTAACTACTTGGGAGGCTGCCTGGGTTTGTGGTGATACTAAAAGCCTTGGTCCAAATGGTTGTTTTGCTGCTTGTCTGACTGTTAATATAGAGCAAGAATCGAAAGCAAAGTTAGCCATAAATTGTGCTCTCATGGCGATTCTTTGGAAAATATATTCTGTTCCTCATTAAATAGATTTATGTACTCTTGTTAATATCGGTCATTTTCCCTTGAATACGTGAGCAAGGGAAATTACAGGATGTTGAGAAATAATTGGATGTATCTTAAAGAGAAATTCAAATGCAGACGTGCTTCTGGAGAGTATTTGAACCCTAAAAGTGAGTGTAGTGGCATGAAATTTCAAGCAGAAATGCAGCAAAGTGTGTAGCTGCTGTAACTGCCAGTCTCAGGCTTCTGAAAGTTTTCATATTTCCTCACTGAACCTGTACAGAAAATCACAGCCTGTACCATACCTCCAATTATATTTGAAGGTAACATCTTCCCTTTAGTAAGAGCTTGGTCTTTGCACAGGCTGAAGTTGGCTGCGTTTCAAGGAGGTTTTTTTGCCATGTCAAAGTTTCAGAATTGTCACAAGAAGGAGCAAATGCATTTAGAACTATTTGTCTTTCCTGGTACTTTATTTGAATGAATGTTGCAAAGTTGTCACAAGTTAAACAGTTCATATGAACATGAGTACTAATTCAGTTACTTGCTACAATGACAATTTTGACCTTTTTTTTTCTTTTCCTCATTATTTTCTGGCTTTCCCAATTTTGTGATGCTGCAGTTGCAAACATACTGTGGCGAGAGGAAGGTACTGCAGTAAAGTTCTTTTGTCGTAGTGATAATGTGCTTGTCTGCTTTAATAATTCCATGATGGGCCATTCTCCACTGACTTGCCACTAACTCTTACCAACTTTCACAGTTACCAGATTAAGTACAGATCAGACATTTAAAAGCTAAGATGTCAGTCTTGTAACATAAGTCATAGCTATAACTTCTTTACATCTTCCCACTATGAAATAATAGATGACCATAAAATATGTAAAAATGTGAATTTTACATAAACTGCCACCAGGGTGAGTAGCCTGAGATTCTCAAGCTGCATTAACAATTGCACAGGTGTCAGAAGTGCTCCCAAATTAACATAATTGAACAAGCAAGACATAAAGTCAATACACTGCATTTTTAAGCAGACAATTCAGGCTCTTCCTCCTCGGTTGCGCGTATTGATGTTTACTAGGTGAGCAACAAAAATTGTGTTCTTCACTGTTAGGAAAAAAAAACCTCCAACCCACAGCAGGCTTTGCTTCCCTCTATCCTTTAAATCAATGCAGGGTAAAGGTTGCTCCGTTGCTCCTTGTTTTAATTGGCAGCTAAGATCTGTAGTTTGATCAAATGTATAGTGTGCCCTGCGTAAGGTCAACATCTGCATATCTTGGAAGCCAAATTAGAAAAAAAAAACAAACCAAACCAGCTAATTGACTCAAAGATATTATGGAGGCACTTGAAATGAAAATGTATTTGCTTTTGTGCATGCTGCCCTAATTTCCAAAAGGCACAGCAAGATGCACCTTGCACAAAGGCCCAAGGAGCTCTGAGCAGCTCACCAAGCTGCCTCATGGGTGCCATGTGTAGGTGGGAACCTGGGGACCCCCCTCCAGCTCCTGGGGGCTGTGGGCAGGGTTTCCGCTTGCTGGAGGAGGGTTTTTGGGTTGAAATCCAGGTGTAAGCCAGTTCTTTCATCTGCCGGTTGCGTATGAGGAAGCTGGGATCTTGGTGTCCTTCCAGCCTTGTGGAGGAGATCTCTGTGCACTGACAGACGGCTCTGCCTGCTCAGACACTCCCCGCTCCCACCGTTGCTCGGGGAAGGGCTGCACGCTCACCCTGCCTTGGGAGGGTGCAAAGACCCCTTCCTGAGTAAGCACCTCCAGGTACCCAAAACTGCAGTTGTGCTTCATGCCCTTGCCTCAGAGCTCCCTGGATTGCCATGGCTCGACCCAAAGGATTTTAGGGGCAGAAGGAAAGTGCCAGCCCGTAGTGACCTTGGCCAGGTATGCAAACACCCAGTGCAAACCTGCTGTTGGCTGCAGACCCGTCAGACGGCAAATGCAGCTGGCTGGAGGTCATGAGACATGGCCCAGCCGCTCGAGACAACTCTTCGGCACTGATTCCCACACACACCACTGCAAGCGCCTGGTGCTCGGCAAGGAAGAGTGTCTCTTTATGCTGATGTTCCTGCAAACGGCATTATGGGCACTAAGAATTACTATTTCCCTTCTGCTTGGAAGTGAAATCTCTAGTGCTTCTAATCTGTCCAGCATCATCTACGGGATGCTGCGTCGCTGTTTATAAGCTGCATCCCTTATGCTCCTTTTTAAAGAAAGTAGCTGGCTAACCCTACCAGATGCAGAAGTGCAGTAATATTTAAAGAACTAAGAAAGCCAGCTGCAGAGAGTCTTACCGTAATTCTGCTAAACAATATGGGCTTGCTGCTTATCAACCTCGCACATTTTAAATAAAAGTAGGAGCGATATACATGGGAAACATGGGCAATAAAGGCAAATTTGCTATTGATGTTCCTAAACAATTCAGTATCTTTAAAGCAGATTTATTCCCCTGCCTGTGTTGTTCTGTAGTATTTGATCGGCGCATTCATTCTAGACAAAGACTCCATCGAACGTGCTTTGGCATGTGAAATCTTGTCACAGAGAAAGCTGGAAGAGAGGGCTGGTATTTTTGGTCTTACATTGTACCGTATTCTTTCAATTCCATCAAAATGAAAACTTAACGTTTTCAAAAATATTAACAAATGGATTAAATAGTTATTAACAAATGAATTGGTAGGCTTGAGCTCCTTTAAAATGATCCCATCCTTATGCCCGCAAGGTCTGTAGTAACTAAGGCTATTAGGAAAACGCCTAGACAGAGTATCATGCAGAAGATCAGCTTTCACTGTGAGTCAGAGTTTTAACACGAGTAGTTGGTCGTTTTAAAAGTCAGTCTATCAAAGATTTTCGCAGATCACACTCAAGTGACACCTCAAGAAATGACTTGCCAGTTGAACACAGAACTGGAATATTTACTCAGTGTTGAAACTGATTTTTCATTTTGTACAGAGAAAATGAAGAGTGTCCTAAATGTAAGGTAGAGATTTGTTTTCGTGCCAGTGTTCATTTCTGCAGTGAGTGTTGCTTTCTTCATACCTAGATAACGGGAGCATTTGTAGCAGCAGGCAGACATTGGTTATATGACTGTATGTGCTTAAAGAGCTGAAAGCTTCTTTACTACCAAATTTACGTTCTGAAATACTTCCAAGCAGTTAGGTTAAATCGAGGAAAATTACTCAAGTATCAGATCAGAAGAGATTATTCCTCGGTGACAAATTCGCCCTTTCATCTCAAGGGAGGGAAATACAAATATACACTCAGATGGAGACTGTATTCCTCCATTAAAGAAAACTCTTCTTGTCATCAGGTGTCCTCCCAAAGTTTTTAAAAATTAAAGATGTTAGGATCAGCTTTATCTGGAATGCTTCAAATAAGAACTGTTTAGGAGACCCTCCCCATTCCCAACAGATTTTCTTTTATATTAATGTTTTTCTCTTGCAGATGAGGTATGTTGCCTTTAGTTTTTGAACTAGTTGTGTCATCCAACCTGAAATGTCGTCAATTAAAAAGAGGGAGAAGGAAAACTCCTTTATTAGTCCCCCAGTTCCCTATCTAGTACTTGCCTTGCCTCAGTGGGAATAACACAGCTGAACAAAATTCTCCATTGCCCACCTCTGAACTGAAATAATTCCCCAGACTGAGTTGCTGCAGCAGTGTAGTCAAGAGTGGAGCCTGGTTTACCAGTGTCCATAAGACCTGGCAAATACTTTACGAATCATGATCAAACACCTAATTTGTCTAAAAATCACTGTGAATATTGCCCTCTGAAAAAGTATTTTAATTTAAAGTGGTAAACTTTTTTTAAAAAAGCATACCTGAATGCTGTTAGTACTCTATGAGTCGTGTTTTAATCAGTCAGCAGAAAAACTTGTGCTTGCTTTACTGTAAAATAAGTGGTGGGACTTGCCAGGTCACTAACTAAGCTTACAGGGGTAAAATTATCATCCAAGTATTTTTGTGACTTATTAAGGCCTTAGTTCTGAAATACACCCTCATTGTGATAGGATCATCAGACAAAATCACGCTACTATCGTGCATGAAAATAGTAATAAGCATCTTCACAATGGTCATAATTTGTTGCCTGCCTGTTTCCACTTCTTAGGATTCAAACCCTTTACTCATGGCAAGATGTGCACTCATTCCAGCCAGGGTCAAATTCTGCCCTCTGATGTATTCACTCAAATCCCACCAAAGCAGGTGGGAGTTGCGTGCGTGCTGGGAGCGCAGGTTTTGGTCCAAAGCGCCCGAATGAAATGTTTTAACGCTATACTCGGAAAAAAAAGAATTAGCCCTTAGTCCGTAAAGATCTCTTAGTTCTTGATGGAGGTTCAGTAGCTTTTTGTCTACTTGCATGGTCCCTCACTGTGGCATCACATTTAAGGATCACGGCACCTGTACCCACCTGATTCCCTAACTGGGGTATTTCTGTGCCCTAACTGGGGTATTTCTGTGCCCTAACTGGGATATTTCCGTGGTATGGTTTAGAGAGACTCAACTTGAGTATTGTCAGTACAGCAAACGCCACGTGCTGAGACATTGTTCTCTGAAGCCACTAATTTGGCACCAAAAGAGGGGTTTTAGCACCCAAAAGAAACCCTTCTAAGCTTACCAAATACTTTACAAAATATTTACTTTACAAAATACTTTACTACATATTTTACAAAATTTCCCCAAAATGCGTTTATCCAAATTGTACGTGTTTTTACTGTGAAGTTTTCCTGGGATGATTTAGACCTCAATCCCACAAACACGTAGGAGGTGTGAGAAACTCTGTCGATGTGAGCAGTGTTTGGAGCTGCCACCACAGGAGCAGCCAAGGGGATTGTAACACTGAACGTTGTTCAGATCTGTAGAACCGGGACCTTTTTTCTCCATAGGTAAAATGTATTTAATTAGAAATTACAAATTATGACATCACCAAGTCGTTGGCAGATAAGTACACTATCGGCATTACTGGGGGTGACAGCGGTCATTGCAAGCACTTACTGGTGGTGGTATGAAAAAAATAAATGAGATAGTGCTTGGATCTTTCTAACTAGAGTGTTTGAAAAGATCCTGAACATTTCTTAAAGATGCTCGTTACTGCAATTGCATGTAGCTGAAGAACAACGAAATTGTCAGTGGTTTAAGGCATTTCTGCATGACAGAAATGATAAAATACCATCTCCTACCAGCAGAGCAAGTTTTCCAAATCTCCTGGAATGCCCCAGTTGGATAAATGAGTGCTGTTGCGATGCTGAACTACTCCACATTTGTGAATTACAGTTTGCAAGATTTCAAAAATGTATTTGTTTTGGTGGCTCTAGTTAGTTTATCCAGATGGCTTAAGGAAAGAGAGAAGTCTGTATCTTTTCATTCATGGAGCAGATGTTTAGCATTTCCATTCTGCATCAGAGGTACAAGAAGTCAAGTTACCTGTAAGAGTGCAACCTGCAGATTAACTGAAACTAAAGCTCCTCTCTCAGTTCTCAAATTATTAGCATGATGCTTTTAATAAAATCATATCAAAACCAAAGCTTTTTGGAATCAAATCCTGCCTTGGTACATAGGCACAAGACTTGAACGTAGTTATTTGCGTACAACCGCTGCCACCAAGGCAAGGCATTTTTGAATGTGTCTGTACCTCTTCACTCCTTGAAGCCCTCGTTTGTGACATGAAGTTTGATTTTGTGAATGCACCGACTGCATCCAAATGACCAACTTTTATGTGAGGCAGATTTTGTTTGTTGGGGGAAGAAGGAGAATTCTTTAAAGAAAGTCCTAACAGCTATGGGTACATAAAAAAAAAAATAATCCTACTCCTTCTGCTTTATCCCCCTTCAAGGCCTCAGTGTTGGGAATATGTTCTATATCTTTTCTGATGATGGGATCACAGTCCTGCAGCCAAACGAATGTGAAATCCGGAGACACATCAGGCCCGAAGAGAGGATTTTCACAAGTTATGTAAGTCCTAAATCCGGCACTTACAGCCAAGAGCTGGGAAACTTTCTCTTAATCTCAGCGGTTGTTATTGCTAGTGGACCCGTTTGACACATTGGTGTTGGAGCTTGGTGGGCTTCATGTGGCATCCCTGAGGTGTATCATCTTCTCCTCTTCAAAATTAAGGGGAGCCCAGAAGTTATAAGACCGACAGGGAGGATTATTGGCACACTGCAGAGAATGTGTCCAGTTATCATGTCACAATGTAGGCAAAGACTTTCACTTGTCCTGTTTGAACTGTTTCCATATCCGTGCCCCAGACTTACAGCTGGGCTGTACGGAAAGTACAAAAGTCAAGAGCAGAGAGATGTAGGTGCAGAAATTCATCCAGAACTGCTTCCTTAGTCACTCCTTTATTTATTTTGTTTGGATTTTCTACTGAAAAGGGGAAACTGCGAATGTGGCTCCCTTCTGAAGGGCTCAGCCTTACTTTCAGTTTCGAGTCAAGATCTTCTTGTGAGGCTGTACTCAGTATTTTTTAAATCTTAACAGACTTCTGGTTGATACTGTTTGGTTTTTTTTTTTCCCCACTAGGTTTTAATACACCTTGGTAGGAATCCAGACTTATGCTTACCCCAAGACAGCTACTTAGCATGGGCTTAATATTATTAAGCCATACTTAAATGGTTGCTAGTCAGAATGAAATCTTGTGTTTCTTTTCCTAAGAGCTGTAAATATTGAAGAGGTGGTTCTGGAGAAACAGCTTGAAAAGAACAAAGGAGAGAGGGGCACTTAAGGAAATAATGTCAGCGCAGTGGTGAGCGTAAAAGGGATTTTTAACGTCATTACTTGACTGCCTTTCAGAGAGACCTCTAAGGATTTCCTACAGATATCATAGGGCTTTTTGCTTTGTGTGGGAAAGATTGACTTTTTTTTCCTCCCTTTTAGTATCTGGAGTATTCACCACAAAGACAGTGACACGAGCCTGCAACTTTGGGAGGGTTTCTATAACAAAAGTTTCTTCATTTGCTATTAGAGGGCACAAAAGCAGATAGAGCAGCGGCAGCAGAAAGGCCAGTGACCTTTCCCTGCTCCCCTTGGGTTGGGTGGATGCCATGTTGTGAGACCCCAAGCCCCAGCACGCAGCCGAGGATGAGGAGGTTCAGTTTCAGGCTCTCGGATGCTTGGCTGCGTGAACGGCTGCTGGAAACCCAAGGTTGGGCTTTTGTAGCATCTTTTAGCTGGCAGTAGTGCAGGTCCCCAGCCTGGCTGGAAGGACAGAAAGGAAAGTGCGGCCAAGCTGTTGAGTCTTGTATCCTCATCGCATGGTCTCCATCAAGGTACCTGGCCAACAGAGCCGGGTTGCTCAGAGGTGGAGCCTTTTTATCATCGTTTTTTCTTGTACCTCCT